GGTCATTTTGCACCCTACACCACTTGCCAAAGTGCCACGGCTTTACCGCTAATACGAACGGAGTTACGGACCCTGTGGCTTTTGCCTTTTAAGACTCTTTATCTGTTTATGTTGATTGCTGTCACTTCCTATCACTTACCATCGCTGTTCCTATCGTGCCGCCTATCTCTCTTCCAAATTTGAATGTTCTAGGTTCAGTGGGACAGGAGTTATGAGTTTCAGATCAGACAAACACACACATATTGACAAACACTTACACACAAACACACCAACAGACACACTTAGCCGATATATAAGTAGGATATTACTTCTCCACCAAGCTTACGTGTTATTTCACGTGAATCCTTATCGTGCCTACGTGGCGGACGCACAAACGGGCATACAAACAGACACGCAAAGTTAGCGGTTTATATATATCATGGATATATTATATGTATAATAGATAAACACATCAACAGACACACCTAGCCAATTATATAAGTAGGATAGATATTGTACCAGTTGGCTATAAACGTCTGTCGGTTCAGCAAAGGCAAAGGGACGTTGTCTTTTATTGGGTCGATGCATAATTATTGCGGATTTTTCGCGGCTTTTCGAATGATACAATTCGAATATTAGATTACGGATTTTTCAGAAATAATCTTCTCGCTTTCCTTAACAACAATGTGTCATGAAAGTCATCGTCATATTCGCCACATTACGCTTTATTACTTCGAGAAAGGTTGGAAGACGGCACAGTCATTTCGCGATCTCAACAACTTTTCGGCGATGGAACAATCAGCCAAAGCCAAATGAAGAATGGGATTCGCTTCTAAATCCGCCATATCCACCGACAGAAACTCCTATGAACCATCACTTGAACCATTTGCTGAAAAATTGGCTTGCGAACAGAACTTACGACGAAGTGGATGCGGTGGTGGCCTATGTAGAGACGTAGATCGCCTCCAAGCATTGAAACTTCTTCTTCTAAGGAATCCGAATACCTATCAAATGGGGAGCAGTGCTTGACAGAGATGGTAGATGCGTTCCAGAGTGATTATTTGAACATATCTTCGTAAAATATTTCTATCGTTTTTTAGAATAGAATAGAAATATTTAGAATATTCAGAAATTTTTATATTTTTAGAATAGAAATTTAGAATATAGAATAGAACTTGTTGAAAAAAAATCCGCAATAATCATGCCCTAACCTAATACTTCTTCAATACCAATATCATATATATATTCAATATCATTCTTATGTGAGTGTGTACCTAATACAACTTAGTCGTCATAAAACACTTCATTCTTTTCCCTAGTGGCTTATAGAACGGCAAAGATGTTTGAATTGGCAAAGGATGATTGCGGTGAAGCTTTGGTGCGACTCTTATACAATCTCTCTTATACAATCTAAACGTGCCCACTACTATTGCTGCAATAATGCCGACAAGTCAAAGATTGTGAAATATTTCCTTTTACCTGCTGTGTCATCCTTTTGGTCTTGAGCATGGCATTTGATGTGAACAAAACCGAATACCGCTGCGTAAGAATATCACAAGGTCGATCAGATGAATTACCGACGTCTCTCGCAGCGCAGGTCCTCCTGTGCTGGACACTCCTGGGCAGACTCAGGGCGCTAAATATGGAGCCCCTTCAAGTCGAGTCAGCCGAAAGCCACGACAAGGTCTCATTGGCGTCGTTAGTGATAGATATGAGCATGAAGAATCCTACAATACGATTACGTAACATGGTGATCTGAAGATTCTGTTTGATTCGGTTTTATTTAGGCAGGGTTTCCACTTGTGACAGTGCATGTTCTCGACCCCTGGACTTTTGAAATTACACAATACCCGATGAACAAGGTCAAGGATAGAAAACTCTCGAAGGATGATTCTTCAGCGCATGGGTGAGCAATTTTAACATGTTTTGTTCAACAGGTTCATCATGTCGAGCACACACTTTTAGGATTAAGTGGGATATTCCTATATGGTACCAACTTAATGGCAATCCAGTGCAATTCGCTTGGCTGAGTAAAGGTAATATCGAGAGGGTTTCACGTAGATCCCAGATTGTGGGATTTATTGAATTCAGCAAACGGTTGGCTGCGCTTCTGATATAAGTGCGAGGTCTCAAGAGGCTCATACACATTCACTGCATAGTTGTACTCAGTATTGTTTGTTTTAATGTCATATAGATTTTTTCGTCAATTCAACGACCAGCATGGGATGGAGACCATATAAAGAATCTACTATCACTGCGAACGCTGATAATGCAAGCAAGCGAAGGGTTTGGTTGGCTTGCGAATCGAGTGAATTCAAAGTATTGTAAATTTTGTGTGAACTGATCCCAAAAACACATTTCTGTATCATGTCGGTAGTGACACTTTGAATTATAGAACTGCTCTAAAGAAACATTTCTGCCCCACATTAACGCTTCTGCGCCCGTGAATGAAATTGAGGGAATAGGCCAGCTGTTAAGGGCATAGAAGAGCTCGGAGCAAACCGATTTATTCCATTGCTTCTCATTCGTTGTGAAAGACCTCTCATGTAAGGTCTTGTTGTCGATAAGTGAACTATGTAGTCCTCAACTTGCGTACTTCTGAATAAGGGCTTCCACTAACAGTAGCGGAGGAGATTTTCACGAACAACCAGAGCGGCATAGTTCGGTATAGTTTGTAGAGAAAACTTTATTTGAACACCATATCAAAGGAAATGGACTTTTTGAATATAATGAAACTGATAAAGCATATGCTCATAAAAATACTAGTAATAATTATGAACTCAGCCAACGGGTTAATAAAGATTCGAATACAAATTCCTTCACGATTGAAATAGTCTTGTGAAGCGCGAGATTGTTGACTGGAACAATTCATTAAGTCAACTGCCTATCGTTTCGACGTTTTCGACTTCTCCAGAGGTCAAGGTTCCACCGCTCGAGGGGATATTAAATACGATTTCGCCACAGTCGGCTCTCAAAGGCAAACTGACAGCTACTTTCTTCGCTTTTTTCGCTACAGACAGTCGCCTGTGGCGGCAGCGGATTTTACATCCGCTCAAGCGGTGGAACCTTAGTCTCCGAAGAAGACATGAACGTCGAGACGTTGAGCCGTTGACATAAATAATTGTTCCATCTAACAACTCGCGCAGCAGAAGACTACTTCAACCATAAACAACTATGCCGAGATTAGAGCAAGAGAGAATTTTCAGAAAAATTTCTTTGTGTTCGTAATAAGCATAGTTCGGCTCCGGAGGCAGATCTTGCCATTAATCATGCACTTCCGAAGTTGCATAAAGATCCTGTTATTCAGATTTATCATCCGTGCTCATAATAGCAGTATTGAACAACTGCTCGGGAATTGCCCACTATTTGAAGTCGAGCATTACACCCTATTTACACAATTTTACACACATCAAGTGTGTATGTATGTATGTGTGTGTGAGAGAAGAAATTCATAACTTCTGTTCACGTGAACCTAGACCGTTCAAATTTCAGGTAGGGGGGTACGAGGTAGGACGGAAACACTTATGGCACAGTGCTCGCCGTGAGAACTCAAAAATCCACGCGAATACCGCGACTTCGCGTCTTTTTGGTCTTTTCTTTATGAAATGCTTCAAAATAGAGCAATCGAGGAGAAAAAATACCGTTGAACTCAGCTCGTCGAGCTCTACAATGTGATACCTTAAGATAATGAAAATGCTACATTTTGGATTGCGCCATGCACTTGAGTTCCATCCGAAAAATGATTGCATGTACATGGGATGCGTGCTTTAGTGCTTGTAGGGCCTGACTGGTCCTGAAGATGACGTGTTCAGAATTTGCTTTGGATTGCGCCACGTACTCGGCTTTATTCAGTACAATGTTGAGAATATTGTTTGGTTTCGTTTAGTCTCCATCGTTCCCTTTTCAGTTTGGAAGCTGTAGATAACTGCATCTGCGACTTCTACACTCAACACTCCTCCTTACAGCTTCCATTGAGAATATGACATCAATTTACAGCAAAATAACTGAGTCCTTTTTTTGACATCTTCCAATTTTTAGAGGAAATCTTCTCCGGACTCGGAGGAGACGGCAGCGAGGCATTCCCACTCTATGTATTTTGCGGGGATGTTATGGTACACTTATCAAAGATCAACAGTTCTCCCTTGGTATGAATCCAAACTTTGCTTGTCGTCACGCCCAAATTACAAAATTATGTTTTTTGCCCTTGCAGCTTGACTTTTGCTAATCGAACTGCATAATGTTAGATTCTCCGTGAAAGTGCTATCGAATGAAATATGGGCCAACGCGTGATGAAAACCTTTCTCTAGAGTCATTTTCTGCCATGCGTCCCTTACGAGACTCAGCTGCTCCAAAAATAGTGTGTTCCAAAGCTAATGCATCTCAACCAGCAAAACAAAACAATGCAATGAAACAATGCAATGCGCGAGGCGGTTCAGAGTGGAGTATTCTATTAGCAGAAGATCCCGTTGGAGTCAGGTGTCAGGTCGTCAAGCTCTGTGAGCAGATACCGTAAAGAAATGAAAATGCTTCGTTTTAGGCGGCACTATATGTAATTCACGTGACAATGTCGATGAGACCATTCAACTCGTGTTGAAGAAACGGAGGGCTAGCTGGCCGCTCTTCGCAAAGCTTTGCAAAGCTATTGCTCACTGAACATAGTACCTCAGAACTCCCTTTCAATCTGCCTCACTTTCCTGCCACTACAGTACCCCATCCTCTGCAGACTTCGCCCCCCACTAAAGTAATCATTGATCGATCAACCCCCCCCCCCTTCTCGCCACTTCAGTATCCCGCCACCGGCAGATCTAATACCACATTCAAATAATTATCGTTTAAAACCTCCAAATTCCTGCCACTACAGTCTCTTCTCCTGCAGATCTTGCTCCCACTCAAGCAATCATTAAACAAAACATTGTTTTAGGTTTTGAGCTTGACGAAATTCGAAGTTTGGGGCAGTACCAAGGGACAAATTTTGATCTACTATAGGGTGTACCATAACAGACCTGCACACAACAAAGAGTTGCTTAGGATATTGAAGTACCTATACGCCACCTCCTCAGATTCCGTAGAAAGATTAATCTAAAAATGGAAAAATGCCAAAAAAATTGACTCGATGAATTGATCATTTTCACATTGTACCGAATAAAGTCGGGTACGTGACGCGATCCAAAGCGCGTTCTGATTACATCATCTTCAGAGACTAATCAGCACCTACAGGCACTGAAGCGTGCACCCCAGGTACATGCAATCACTTTTCGGAAGGAATTCAAGTGCATGGCGCTATCCAAAATGAAGCATTTTTCTTATTCCAAAGTATCACCTTGTAGAACTTGACGAGCTGAGTTTAACGATATATTTTTTCCCCGACTACTCTATTTTGAAGCATTTTATAAAGAAAAGACGCAAAAGGTGCAAACTCGCGGTATTCGCGTGAATTTTGGAGTTTTCACGGCGAGTGCTGTAGGTGGGCGAATCAGACTCTGCCCTCTTGGGTCAGGTAGTGTGTGAAACAGGTGTCTGACCAAAAAAAGGGACGGGGTCCGTAAAAAAACTTCACTCTGGTTTTGGGGCTTCAAACTCGGTAGGAGCCCGGGCGACATTATAGGAATGGTGACAAAGGCAGATAACAAGCGGGAAAGGGCTGACGAAGAGCCTGAAAGACTAGAGCCACACGGTATGTAATCCCCATCTTGCCATAAGTAGAACTTTGGCGTTTTGATTGACGATGTAGGCCATGTGAAAGGGTCGAATTTTCTTTGTGACAGAAATTGATAACAGCTGATAAGATGTGGTAAGATGTCTTAGAGAGGAAGAGCCACATATTAATTGAATTCTAACGGCTATGGTGTTTCCAATTAAACATTGACTCTTCGATATGTTTCATTTGATAAGACGGGATGGTAGAGTAGGGCGACAAATGTGAGCGGTAAGGGCAATGATAGGGACCCATTGACCCCACTTCGGCAAGGAGATGAAATTTTGTTCATTTCTCGCTATTTGATTACGACCGCTACCCAGCAAGAATTGTAAGTCAATGAAGCATTCTTTTTGGTCGATATCAGTTCCGACAAAACCCAACCGACCACCACAGATCTGGAATTCTGGACTAATATTCCCGTAATGAAAAGGTCTCAAAGATAACGACATCTGATAATGGTCTATCATTACTTGAAACATTTATGGGTACGTGCAAGGCTTCGGTTGCTTAGCAGATGAATTCTTGATAGATGTTCAGTTTGAAAAAAAGCAAAAGATCGGAAATTCGAATAAAGGCGTAGGCCCCGACTTACACCATATACCATTTGCACTGCTCTGTTGGTCCCGTGCCAAGTTTCGTGTGCAAGGAAATCTCATTGTATTCTTATCCTCATCTTATATCCTATCAATTTTGTCTTATTTTTATTCGTTTCAAAAAGAAGCGGAGAGCTATCCGACTACTACAACACTGTGAAAAAAGGAGAGATTACTTTACCTATGATAGTCTCCAACTTCTCTCTTACTTTAGTCTCGGCGTAGTTGTTTCTGATTAAAATACTCTTGTGCCGTGCGAGGTTAGTAGGTGACTACTCATGACTAGACGAACAACTGCGTCTCTTTCCCCTGAGGCTCGACCTCAGTTTGAGGACAGTGTAAAAAGGATCATCAGTATCACAACGAAGAACTATGACGACATTGAAGCAGAAATAATCAGTGAATACTCAACCTTTGATCTTCCGAGTAATCATATTTCATTACTGGAAGAGTCAGATCTGCTAAAAGAAGATTGAAGCTGTCTCATTGTACCACACCTTCTACCTGCTTATAAATATTATCTCCAAAAGCACGAAAACTGTTGGGTAGAAACTAATCCGTATAAAAGAGCATGTCATTAAACTTATAGCCTCTATTGTCGTTTTTGGTATCTGTGCTATCTGTATAAGAAACCTTGTTCTCATCAGTTGCTAATGTAGGTTTGTTAGCATGACCGTAGCAAATTTCAAGTAGTATCAGCGTACTTATGTTTGAATTGTGTTCAGACTCGTAAAATATCTCAAAATCAGCAGTACATAGCAAAGAATTATCATGGGTAAATGATTAAAATACTCTTGTGCCGTGCGAGGTTAGTAGGTGGAACAATTTATTATTCAACGGCCTAACGTTTCTACGCTATCGTCTTCTTCAATGGCCTAAAGCAATTCGAGATGATTTGCACAGAATCCAAAAAGCGCATCTCCCCTTTGGCGAATGAGACGACAAATTTAAACCCATAATTCAAATCTTAACTCACCAGGGTTCCACCGCTCAAGGGGATGTGAATCCGCTGTCGCCACAAGCGACTGCTTTCCTCGCTGAAATCTCCCTTTCCTGCGCTAATATCGTGCACTTTGTTTCGAAGTTGTTGCCGTTGTGCTCCTCGATATCATGCCTACCAAGCGTTGTCATCAGGCTGCCACGCCCCATACTAGCTAGATGCTCTTTTATCCGTATGGCTAGTTGTATAGCTAGTGCTCCGCTGTATAGCATTGCTAACTTTGTTGGAGATGAAGGGAAGACATAGTGGTAGCTTATTTAGAGGCGTAGCACGCTGCGTATTAGCGTGACCATAAACTCTTCTCTAACGGAGCGCTTTCTACATCTGCATTTTAAATTCGACCCATTATTAGTTGTGTGGGGGGACCAACTGACAGAATCTCGTGGTTCCTCAATAAGATTGTAAGCCAGTATTGACCCTACGAGCATTATATGAAATGCTGGATAGGCATGCTAATAATATTAATACCTTTGGACTTAGTAAAATGCATATAATGACGTTGGTCAAGGAATGCTTAATGTGTAACATCTTCAAATGGGCGGAAAAGTACTTTTCTCAAGTCAGAGGTCTTGCTATGGGACAACGGCTGGCACCGGTTCTTGCTGTGTGCTTTATGGGCAGAATTGAGGAGCCGGTTCTAAAAAGAAATCCTTTAATGTACTGTAGATATATCGACGACTGTTTCATTGTGACATCAACACAGTTCGAAATGGGCGAGTGTTTTCGAATCATGAAGGAACAGTCACAGTACACTAAACTCACAAGAGAGGTACCACGTGATGGTTGGCTCCCTAACCTCAACACCCAGGTCAAGGTATCCAGTGGCGTTGTTAGTGTAAAGTGGTTCCGTAAAACTAGTTCTCAGAATATCTTACTTCTCGCTACATCAGCTCATCCACAAGCCGTCGAACGTGCAGTCATCAGCAACATGTTGAGAACCGCAACAAGGGTCTGCACGGGTGAGGCCGAACGTCTGGAATCACGACGATCGGCTTGTGAGATAGCTGCTGTGAACGGCTATACGGTCACAAGGTTGTAGAGCATCTCACACTAATACGCAGCATGCTACGCCTCAAAATAAGCTACCACTATGTCTTCCCTTCATCTCCGATAAAGTTAGCAATGCTATACAGCGGAGCATTTTCAGAGCTGGGTTGCAAGACGTTGTACAATTAATGAATATTCCTCATAAGAACATCAAGCAACTATTAGTTCGGAACAAGCTCTACGACAAGCAGTGCATAACGAAAGACTGCAGCATATGTCCTCACGGAAAGAAGGGTGATTGCGCACTGATAGGCCTGATCTACCAAATAGAATGCCGGACATGTGGGTCAACATACATCGGAAAAACGGGAAGACAACTAGCTATACGGATAAAAGAGCACCTAGCAATATGAGCGTGGCAGCCTGATGACAGCGCTTGGTAGGCATAATATCGAGGAGCACAACGGCGACAACTTTGAAGTAAAGTGCACGACATTAGCGCAGGAGACGGAGATTTCGGCGAGGAAAGCATTAGTGGCGTTCTGGATCTTTCACAGAAATCCTAAAATGAAGGGTAGAGATGAGTGCCACTCTAAAACCAGCGATCTTTTGCCGTATATACCGCACTGCGGCTTATGACNTAGAAATTTTAGGCTGCAAGTTCATAACCCATAATAATTAACATAATAACAAGCGAGCAAGCGTTGCAATCCCCTTCGCGTCAACACTGGAACCTTTTCAATGACGGCAATGTAGGGTGTGTCATGGTCGTAGGTACTGTGTGACAGGGACTGATAACAACTGATAAGAACTGTTAAGGGGCCTTAGAGAGCAAAAGGGTATTCATGATCAAATACTGACTCTTTAAAATGTTTCATTCAATAAGACGGGTAAATGCAGTAATAGCGACCGTTCAAAGACATTTCTCCATAACGAAATAAGAATATTGTCCATTTCTTGCTATTAAACTACGACCGTTACGTAATAAGCTTTGTGACACAATGAAGTACCACGAATCCTTTTTGTTTTGTGACATATCATTTGTGAATAAACTCATCTGACCGCTAATGATTTGGGATTCCCAGTTAATGAAAACTTCGTGGGAAAATGTTCTATTGATAACGACATCTGTGATAGGCGTTACTATCCATTTCTGGGTTGGGTACCATTCAAGACATTGGCTTTTAATCAGTTAAGCCATTAATATGACACAATTTCGAGATGAACAGCAGTGAATCGAGACTTCTAATTAGTATACAATCAATTATAATACAGAAAAAATCGCTCCCAATTCGGAGCTAATGCTGGGAGTGTAGAGCTTTCAAGAAAAAGCAAATTTCTTAAAGAAGGAGGAGCGCCCGGGCGACACCATAAGAAGGAGGGAAGCCTGGCGTTAGCCGGGCGGCCCGACTCGTAATATTTATAAGCAGGTAGAAGGTGTGCTACAATGAGACAGCTTCAGTTTTCTGTTAGCAGATCTGAGTCTTCCAGTAATGAAATGTGATTACTCGGAAGATCAAAGGTTGAGTATTCACTGATTATTACTGCTTCAATGTCGTCATATTTCTTCAATGTGATACTGATGATCCTTTTTACACTGACCTCAAACTAAGGTCGAGCCTCAGGGGAAAGAGACACGGTTGTTCGTCTAGTCATGAGGGGAAACGAGCCATCTTCAATTCGTTCTGTTAATCATTTTGATGTATTTGCCTACTCTTGTTTTTTATGCTCCACTGACTTCAATTTCTTACACTTTAGCAAACACTGCCGTCTTCCCTTTTTCAGCTTAGTCTTCTTCCTTAGCAAAAGCCGGACGATTTCCTTTTAATGAGAATATCTGAGGCATCCGAAGTCCCTTATAGGAGCCGTCCTCCCGGTCAGGCACTAGTTCATGAGACATTCTTTCAGTTTGTGGGCTGAAGTCAATAAAAATGAAAATCAGTAGGAAAGTTCTGGGGTCTATGTCGTCTGGCGGGATGGGCGGGGTCGCGCTGCCCATTTAAGGCGGTGCGCGGGATGAACAACTCGTTTAGATCGGGCAACCATCTGTCTGTTCTCTCCAGCTGATAAAAGCGCGATCAATGACGCCGCTACTGTTAGACGCCGAATTGCGGACCTGCTGTATTCTGCACACACATAATCCATTTGGAGCTTTTGTGTGATTTTTTATTGCTTCTTGTGCTTTCACAATCCCTTTTCTCCACGGATCTTCTTTGAAGGATTTTTGTATTCGAAGACATAGCACAAGAAGCAATAGAAAATCACGCAAAAGCCAAATTTACGATTATGTAGGCAGAATACAAGCAGGTCTGCAATTCGGCGTCTAATAGTAGCGGCGTCATTGATCGCGCTTCTATCACCTGGAGAGGACAGACAGAAGGTTGGCCGATCTGAACGAGTTGTTCACCCCGCAAACCGCCTCCAATGTTCGGCGCGACCCCGTTCACCGCGCCAAACGACCGCCTCCCGAAGTTTTGTGGTGCCATTAAAATAGATGAGAGATAATTATTTGTAATTTTCAAATCTGGTGTCTTCTCTTCTTGTGAAATGGGATAGGGAATGGACGACATTTTATGTATTCACTCTATGATTCCTTGTGTTGATCATTAGGAAAAAGACTGCACTTCACATAAGTCGCCAACCTTGCTAGACTGTATTGTCCTACCGTTATTATATACATAGAATGGTTTTTTCCAGACAAGCCGCTTTATATCCGGGCAAATACTGAAAATGATATTCTGGTGGTGAATGGAGATCGACATGGTTTCTATCGACAAAATTATGATGAGAAGGGTTGGAAAAAAATAATCAAGCAACTTACAGAGAATCACACGGTACTTGAACAGCGACACTTCGATTGTCTTATCGTAAAAGGTTTTGCGACAGTGAGAATTATACTGTCATAGAAGGACTCGAAATCCATGCAGTAATCCTTACCATATATAAGGGCATTTCTATAAAAAGCTCAACTTGATTCATTGTCATCTTAGCATATCAATAGTCTGTCTGTTGGTCTGTATCAATAGTCTGTCTGTTGGTCTGTTGGTCCATGTATCTGTCCAGTTGCAAAATCCATGGTTTTGATTAAGGTAGTGGTGGAGAAGACAACCTACAAACTGTCTCTCTCATTTATAAAGCAGAATCTTCGTGTGTCGGTCTGTCCGTCCGCAAAGCTCATGATTACGATAAAGGTAGTGATATGGAAAACCTTGCTCTTTTTTACACTTTCCCTTTTATACCTGGTGCGTAGGTTGATGGAGTAGAGTGAGTAATGCGGAATGAAGTGAGTGATGTGGGGTGAAGTGGTACTTCATACTGTGATTTCGATCTGTACTGGCATCGAGCTATGTATGACTATACGATAATGTAGTTGGGAGAACTCCTTTTTTTCAAAACTGAGCGCGAGAGCGCACTAAGGAGGCTAGCTCGCAATTGTTTTCAGGAACGTTTTTTAGCCGAGAACATACAGTTTTTGGCCCCGAGCATCAGGAGGGAAAGAGCACGGGGGTAGGTGAGTCAATAGATTATTCAACTCGTAACTCATCACATCTTTTTGCACTAGGTAGTCATCTTACCCCACCTCGGCGTTCTTCCCCTCTTGGAGCTATGTTTAGTAAGATTTATATTCTTCCGCCTCTTCCGTCCCTCAGCACAGGCAGGGTCGGTACCCCTCCTCCTCTACACTCTAGCGCTCAGTGTTGGGTAAAAGAGATGACCTCTCCCCTAACGACATTTTCTAACTACTTGGTAAAAGTAAGGAATGAGACCCGGCGTAAGCCGGGCGACCCAACTGGTTATAACGTAATCAAAACCAGACGGTTCGCCGGTTTACGCAGGCCCTCATTTCTTTCTTTAACACCTTGGCGACCGCAGCCTTTATGACCGCGCGCCGCAAGGGACTATGCCGTTTTTTGCGTCGTTTTGCTGCCGACGAATGCTAACCAAACTCCAAGAAAGAGAAAGCAGGTTATGCGTGATAAATTGAAGAGCGATGGCCGTCGGCGTTGCAAAAAATGCCACGAAAAAGCTCAAGCAGAACATGGTCGAGCGGCAGCAAACGACGTGAAGAAGGTTGAGAAGCAGCCAATGCAAAGGTTCTTACTGCTTTGAATGCTTCCGAACGATGCACACTACTTGCTCCAGTCTTTAATTTTCGTTGTTGTTATTGTTATTGATTACCGAATAAAAAAATTGAAAATGTTGAATTTAGACATTCCCAAGGGTTGATTGCAACCCTGAGATATCTCCCATCCGACTTTAGTTCTACCCAGACCACAGGTAATATTGACTTTTCGGTCTACAATAGTAGCATTGCCGCAAAAAAAACGAAAAAAAACATAAATTACAAAAATATTATCACTTTCATGCATTGTCCCAGCGAGCCAAAAACGTGCGTTCTGACATCGGGACGCATGGTCGCCAAGGTGTTGAAGAGAAATTGGAAAATGATGTAGTTACGGAAGGGGGAGGGGTTGGGGTTCGCTTTTATTCAACAATGAGGACTTTGGGAGGACAAAGATAATTAGGAAGAAGGATGGGTAGCCAACCTAAAAGCTATGATTGGGTACAAGTTGAATATCTAATTAATTCATCCGCTCCGATGCTTCTTCCCTCCTGAAGTTCAGGTCAAAGAACTGTGTGATCTCGGCTAAGGAACGTTCCTAAGCACAAATAGGGGCTGACCTCCTTATCTCGAGCACTAAGATGGAAAAAAGCCTTTCAACTACATACATTACCATCTCCGAATTTTGTATAGACATACATCGTACCATGCCAGTTCAGATCGAAATAGCAGCTTCAGCGTACCAACTTCACTCTACATCAGTCACTTCACTCCGCAGCGCTTGCTCCACTCTATCAATCTACCCACCAATTTATTGCTTTATATACAAAAAGGAAATGAAGGATAGAACTGGACTATTCATATCGCTACCTTTATCGTAATCTAGAAGTTACGGACATACCGACAACCGACATATTAAGTACTGATTTATAAATAAGAGAGATAAGGAATAGCCAATATTATGTAGAATCAAAAGTGATATGTGGCGCGTTTGATCAGATTGTTATGAAGTCGGCGATCTTTGTGTGTATCCCTTTGCACAACTTTTGAGTTAATTCGTTCGCCATGATTGTTTGCGGCATAGTACACGTAGTCACGGCGTCTAGAGCTGTTCGTTCGGTTTGGCGTTAAAAGAGTTCCAGCACCGATCCTTTAAATGAGCATCGTCTGTTGGATTCAATTGTAAGTCCGATGTCGTCTGCAAAGCATGAGTTGATTTGAACCAATTAATTTAAAAAAATCTGTCGTCAAAAAGTCTTTGCCTCGTATCGCAGCTGTCCTTCCTTGCATGTTTCGCAGGGGAGACGGTACATTCGTGCGATTCAGACTGCGCGCGTCAAATTGCGCGGCGAAATCCATAACGATTTTGATGACTCTGGCGACCATTATTGGGGCCCAAATTCCAAGTGGAGTAGATTACTAGTGTCAGCTGACTCTATTTAACTATTCTATTTCAAGTTTGTGCCCCAATAATATGCGCCGGAGTCGTTCGGATCGTCACGAATCTCGCCGCGCCATTTGGCGCACGTGGTTGGAATCGCACGAATGTACACACATCCGTTTCGCAGAGTGCTTCTCTTACGTAGGCGTGCTTATCTGTGTGCCACGTGGGTGTGTCTAACTATAAAAGTGTCTGTGTGTGTCTGACGAGAGAGGCATGACTGTTTTCCTAAGCTTGGAGCGTTTGCATTTGATAGGAATAGCGGCGGTAGGGGAGAAACACTGATGTCATGCGATACGAAACAATATCATTTGACAGGGACTGATGAGGGATCTCGTTGCGTTCTGCTTGTGAACAGTAAGACCTTGTACCTCATAGGCTGCTTTCATAGTCCGCTGGCCGGCGAGCCGGCGAGCCAGTGCACTGACGTAAAACGAATTAGTTGGTATGTAAGAAATCAAGATATAATGGAGTCATTAGGGTCTAATAGGAAGCCTTCGGAGCAAGATTTCATCTACGTGATCATTTCTCTTTTAACACACAGCCTTACTGCAAAGATTGATCGATAAAATGTGGTAAAAAGTGAAGGGTAATGAAAGACCTTTTGAAGCAGAAATTGCTCTGCTCGTCAGTATTGACGATGCAATTTTGGACAATTTGGTATTTTCCATACCATAAGCGGAATTTGCTGGCATAAAGTGAAAACGCGCTCTACAACATCATTCTTCTTCTTCTTATTCTTTAGCGTTTGTCCCGCTTGTAGGCGGGGTCCGCTTTTCTGATATGTTGACGCCATTTCTGACGATTGAACGCTTGATCGGGGTGAATGTTAACCGCTTTAAGATCTTCGTGCAACGTATCAAGCCACCGCTGCTTTGGACGTCCCCTAGGCCGCTTTTCGGACACGTCAAGGTTGAGACTGATCTTACGGACACTGTCGTTCTTTGCGCGGAGAGTATGACCATACCATCGTAGACGAG